GTGACCCTGCTTTGGCAGGAGGGTTGGACTAGATGACCCACAGAGGTCCCTTCCAACCCCTACCATTCTGTGTGATTCTGTGTAAATGAAATACCAGTCAAACAAACTACAGCATCAGGAGAGTTGTTGAGCGTGACATCACTAGCAGAGAAGTAAATTTGCAATTGTGCACGTTATCAGTTTCTTTCCAGGTGTGTATGAAGGGGAATATCATGAACAATAATGGAAAACATTAATAGATAACATATAAACCGTTCTGGTGAAGGAACAACCTGTTAGTGTCCTCACTGGACAGAAAATTGTAAGTCAATCAACCAAAATAAATGCAAAGCCATAACACCTCTGAAGATTTTTCCACTAATATTATTGATGAGAATCTACATAAAACTAGATGACTACCTATTGAGACTTTGACATTTTGGGTCAGGTACCACAAACACAGCCTCTAGTAACAAAGAACCACCTTGGGAGAAAACATAGTCAAGGTGGGAGGGACACCAGAGCTTGCAGGACTGTTGTCAAGATCTCAGAAACTAATATTTGGTGTAAGAAACTTCTTAATCACTGTGATATAGCACTGGTTTCTCGAGCTCTCGCTATCAGTAATGAAGCCACTGCTACAATCTGCCTAGATCTACCTGATGCCAAAACATCAGCACCACCATATGTGAATTGTAAACTGCCTCCCCAAATGCTCTGCTCAGATCTGAAGACAGAAGCATGTCACCAGTCACTTTATGTGAGGCATCTTCTGCCCACACCTCCAAATTAATGAGCTGAGTCCATTTCAAACCACGTGACTTTCCTGAATTCTGTGTTCGCTCTGAAGCTTCATGTATCCACACGCTGCTGAGGTGATAAAACTAGTGATCTTGCCTAGAACTGTCCCCTTTCACCGCAAAGGAAGCACTTGGAGGAGGAAAAGTTTGAAGCAGAATCTCTCTGGACATCTGTGTTATTTCTGAAAAGAAGCAACTTACAGTTGCTTATAATGTATGCTTTCCTGAGGGTGTAAGGGCGCTTGATGTTCACTTGGGTCAAGGTGATTTCCATGCTTTATGACAAGGTCTTGAATCTGTAATACCTGGGTACTGTCCCATCCACTGCGGCCCCAGTGACAGCTTACATACTCCATCAAATACATCTGTATATTTACTAAAGCCAGCGGACTAAAGATACACTAACTTAAAGGAAGAAAAATTGCATAATGAATAGAGATACTATGTGCAAGCTTTCCTTCTTGGAGCAACACTCAGCAGTAATAAACTAGGACGAAGCTATAGTAGTTTTACCCTTTGCATCTAGAGCCACAGGGCAAGAAGGACATGGGAAGAACATGTTTGCCATCCAAGAATACAGCTTTGCTTGCACAAGAGGAAGCCTAACACATATGCTCGACCAATTTAATAATCACCGTAGACCTCCTTCAAAGAAACGTTAGCAAAACAGATATCAGAAAATAAACAGAAGTATTATAAAAACATGTCTGTTCTCTTGCACTAGGACTCTCAAAGGAATATGATATCAAAATTACAGTCTCTCAGTTTTCACTTCCTATTTTTCTGGGTTTTTTTTCTCTAGATTATTTTGGCTTTCCTATTTTCACAAAGAAAAGGTGGCATTTTAATTTCTTGATGTCCCCCCTTTCATCCATCCTCCCTGCTGTCTCTTCCCTGCATTACTCTCCTTTGCTATGTCTTCGTCTCCTTTCCTTTCCCAGAAGAGGCCAAATGGCTGAATACTTCCCAACAGACAGTCAACTACATTGCTCCTTCCAGGGTAGATTCGTAGAAAGATCAACTCCCTAACTTGCAAGTATTGAAGGCCTAAAGGTTGCTAGCTCTTTCTTCTCACGGATTGTTCTCACTCCCCCTCTCAGCAACCACCTAACCACGGAAGTACTTGTTGGTCCCCACAGCACATACTGCCTGTTGTCAGACATTTGCAGTACTCGATATGCAGGCAGGCAAGCTCAAGCACAATACCTTTCTGTAAATGCATGTAAATTGCTCCATC